AGGGCTTTAGGGCTTAGGTTTTAAAGGCTTAAGGTTTAGAGGCTTAAGGTTAGGGCTTAGCGTTTAAAGGTAAAAGGTTTAGAGGCTTAAGGTTTAGGCTTGAGGGGTTTAGGCTTTAGGGTTAAGGGCTTTAGGGCTTAGGGTTTAAAGGTTTAAGGTTTAAAGGTTTGAGGTTTAGCCTTGAGGGGTTTAGGCTCTAGGGTTAAGTGTTTTAGGGCTTAGGGTTAAGGGGTTTAGGGCTTAGGTTTTAAAGGTTTAAGGTTTAAAAGTTTGAGGTTTAGGCTTGAGGGGTTTAGGCTTTAGGGTTAAAGGTTCTAGGGCTTAGGGTGTAGAGGTCGAGGTTGGTTTTCAACCCCTTGGACTGTGACGTCTGCTCGGCCCAGCACAGGGTTCTTTCCAGACCTACATTCCTCAACCAACCCCTCAGTCTGTACCTCCACAGACACAGTGTCCCTTCGGAATTCCACATTACCCTCTAGCGCTCCCTGAAACCATCTTCTTCTCGGTATGCCTTTTCTCGACCACGTTCTTGCCCTGCAAACCGTCATCGTGTCCCTGCGAACCCTTTTCCTTTCCTTCCGGCTGCTGGTGCCACCCACGCGTTTCCCAATCCCTGGCTTCATCCCCTTCTTCCTGTTTCCTTCTCCTTTTTCCTTCTCCTATGCCCTTTCTGTTTCCCCCGCACGGAAACTCACCACATTCATGCGTATTGCAACTTCCAGCCCATCTCTGCATTCTGTTGCAGGATCCCCTTGCCGAACTGGCACTCCATTCACCATCACACGCTTCACCAAGACTTCCCTCAAGGTTTAGGGTTTAAAGCTTAGGAATAAGAGGTTTAGAGATCAGGGTCAAGGGGTTTAGGCCTTAGGGTGAAGGGGTTTAGGATTTAGGGTTTAGAGTTTAAGGATTCACGATTTCAGGGTTTAAGATTTAGGGGTTTAGGGTTTAGGGCCAGGGGTTTAGGGCCAGGGGTTCAGGGCCAGGGGTTTAGGGTCAGGGGTTTAGGGTTTCCGGCCCAGGGGGTTTAGGGGTTCAGGGTGTAGGGATTCACAGCGGTTTGTGATCTGATCGTGATGATGTGACAGGGCTGCTGAGGTGGGGAGCGAAGAGCGTTCCAGCAAAGGGGATCCTGTCACATTTCCCATTACAAACAAAACATTGAAAATCCCGAATATAAGTACCTCTAAAAAAGGAACCTAAATTTAAAAAAAAAGGAATAAGCAACGCAACCTTACTTGATGTTGTGAGGTTTCTCAGGTCTGCCCTCCCTGGATGTCCAGGAGCGGCGAAACACCCTTACACACCACACGGCGTTCTTTGTTTCGTGAGCAGGGCCTGTATCGTCATCCAAGCGCATTTGGGGCACACAATCCTAAACAGGTCGTGCGTGCGTAGTGTATATATTACTACATACAGGTCATGCGCATAATTTGAAGAGAATACATACACGTGATGAGATAAATAACTCACAGATGGGGAGTATATAGGACATATTCTAAAAGAAGTAACAGAATGGATGTATTAATGCATTAGGGTGTCTGCTATGTATACGTACACAAGGCCTGAGTGCTCTAAACTGCCGGGAAAGGATCCGCAAATCGGACAGGTCCGAGCTCGTAACTGCCAATGTCTGCCCTGACACTGCTTCGCGAATGACATCGGTGCTGGGATGAGCCGTGCAGCTGCCTTGGTTTCGACATGAGTTGATGTGCTAACTTCTGGCTTAGGTCGTCCTGGGTGAATAGAGATCAACAAGCGGTCCCACATGCCAAGGTTGCAACAATGACTCGCCAAAAGTGCATCAGAAAAAAGACAAAGTACCAAAGCGAAGAAACGACACATAGAAACACTCAAAAGCAAAGCAAGCCAAGGCCAAGCAAGAGGTGGAACGTCTCCGAGCAGACATCATGTTTACAGCACTTCTGGTAGTGGGAATGAAGTTGATGATGCCGATGCCAGTGGCAAAGATGACCAATGCTGAGCGTGACAGTGATGAAGGCGATGATGCGTACAATGACTATGCCGATAATGGTGATGACGAGTACATGATGATGCTCATGACGCTGACGCAGTGGGGTGGTGATGGCGGTGTAGGTGCTGGTAGTGGCACACATGGCATACACAGTAGCCTGTGTGCCGTGGCGGTCTCTGCGGACGGTTAGATGGTTGGCGGTGCACGGACGGAGGTGGCACTGATGGGGTTCTATTGATGGTGACACTTGCAATAACCGCTTGATGACCACAATTCTTGATAAGATAGAAACCGGTGACACCGATTTCTAACGTATAGCAGAACGCATGGCCTTAGCAGACTTGCAAGGAACACAGAACCTCAAGTCTAGCGATTGCTCGCTTTCGCGACTTACGGAACAAGCACCAAACAAATACCGCAAGTGCACGCAGGATGACTGAACCCTAATCACCTTCTCTGAGCTGCGGGGGAGAGGATCCTGGCAGAAAGGGACAGCTGCCCAAGATTCGCTTTGGCCTTTGCAGCTTGCAGCTTCGGGAGAATTCGGCCCTGCTTTCTGCCTCAGTTCAAGCGCAAAGGGCCATGTTTCAGGTTGATGGGCTATTGGGTGCAATTAGAACTTATTCTGATGATTGCGTAGGCGTAGGCTTTGTAGCAACAGCTAAAACTTGAACATTTTCCGGCGAGACCTCTGGTAGCTTGGTGTCTTTCCTACCTCCGTTCCATGCATGTGCAAGCATCCCTTCTCTCCCCAGACAACCTTTAGGTTGTTTCTATGTTCTCACTCCCCCCCTTGGCGACATTATTTCAAATTCGGGGTAGTGCCAGACTGCCGTGTATCAGGTGATGGTAAGGGATGTGAAAGGTGCTAGAAGTGTGCTAGCTCCCACGATGCTGGCGAAACAAGCATGAGCTGGCTTTGAGCTGGGTGCCGTGCGCGGATACCTATGGCTACAGATACCTTCCAGAGCTCAACTTGAGAGTAATAGTTAATGTCTTTGACGAGAAGTTGCTCACAGACCCAATCCGGATCGCCGCAGAGCGAGCTGCAGTCGTAATACTCACCTTGTGGGTGGTTCGAGGCGCTCTAATGCTTTGGCGCAGTTTGAAGGGGTGTTGACCCTGCATGCCAACGAATCCAAAATGCTAAATATGCAACAGATAGCAAAAGCTTCTCGAACAAGCTCAGCATAAAAGCCGTAATCCCTATGCATTGAAAGTATATTTGGCATGACGGAAACTCGAGGCACCCCTTCTTGGATGTCTTGGCTTGATATGTGTGTGATATGTGCGACCCAGAAGCCGATCATCCTGATGAGGTAGAGTTGCCATGTGGTGCCTGCCACCTTGTGAAATTTCACGAACCTCATCAGCACGCAAATGCTGAAGCTGGAAAGCGTACAAATCCTACCGATCACAATGCAAGAGCACAAATGTGCAAAAGGTTGATTTGGCTTCCAGGTTTTGGGTTTACTGATCCACTTCGGGCGCCCTGGGTTCAGTGCCAAAGGAATGTTTCAGCCAAGGACAAGGAGTGCATGTCCTTGTCAACTTGCACCACCTCGCTGGAACCATCCTCCAGCCTGACAGGGGGCGACAATGTGCAACAGGATGCCTGAGGATTCCGAAGCCCAAAAGGCCCTGATTTGGCGCAGTCAGTGCAGAGCAGCGTTTAGCGACTGCAAGGGGAACCGTCACCATTTGAGCCATTGTCTAAACTCCTAGTATCCCCCTTAAGAACCCCTATTATAGTCCCTTATATAATCCCCTATATAATCCCCCTTTAAGGAGTTTAGACTATAGCTCATTTCCGTCAGCTACGGATGCTACGTCTTGTAGCGATGGCCATGGCCTCAAGGCGTGCTGCAAGAACACGACATCCGAGCTCAGTCGCTCCGTCCTTGGATGAGGTAGCATTATGGTATATTATGGTATATGTCCTTGCTTCTCAACATGTGTGATTGCCTAAGGCAATTCAGACGATGCAAGACGGCCCTCTTTTT